TGGCGGCAGCAAGTGCACACTCAGGACAGCGAGACAAGGAGGGGCTCCGCATAGAGAAGCAGCAGGAGAGCCCAGCGGGGCGCTTTGGCTCACTGGGAAGTCACAGAAAGGGGGGCCTTGGAGACAGGTTCCGGGCAAGCCCAGGACGAGCTGCTGCTGCCCACTGCTCCTTCAGTTGCCCCTTAGAGGGAAGAAGGGGGGAAGGGCATGGGTCAGGCCTGCCCCCCTGGGGGAGAGCGTGCATGGGGTGCTGCATTGAGGGTATGTATCTCTCTCTTGCAGGCAGGTCCTAGGGGAGGGCTCAGGGGAGGGTCTCCATCGTCATCCCTCCAGGGGTGTCCTTTTAGGGCTGTGGTCTCCTCTTATTGGTCCGCACCAGGGGTCATTCGTCAGTGACGCTGCCCTGAGGCAGGCACAGCATTGCTTGTCTGGTTTTGCTGCTTTTCTGGGCCTGGAGCTAAAATAGGACTGAAGCTTAGATGTTATCTTCAGAGAGGAAAAGTCAGGGTGTCTAAACCGCATAACCGCGATATGAAAGGCCAGGGGGTCCAAACCGAGTGATCAGCCAGCCATGCGCTAGGGGAGGGAGGTCCTCCCGGGAGTGAGGTCCTTCTTTTCCCGCTTTGCCCCTTGCTAGGCACCCAGGGCTTCCCAGCCTCATGACTTCTTCTTTTTTTTTTTTAATTGTTTTATTGCTTAAAGTATTACAAAGAGTAGTACATATGTCTCCTTTTTATTTTCCCTTTGACCTTCCCCCGGCCTCCCATACCCCCCAGTGTCTTGTGTCCATTGGTCATGCTTATATGCATGCATACAAGTCCTTCGGTTGATCTCTTACTCACCTCCCCCTCCTGCCCCCCACCCTCCCCGGCCTTCCCGCTGCAGTTTGACAGTCTGTTCGATGTTGCTCTGCCTCTGTATCTATTTTTGCTCATCAGTTTATAATGGTCTTAATTATCATAAATGAGTGAGATCATGTGGTATTTTTCCTTCATTGACTGGCTTATTTCACTCAGAATAATGCTCTCCAGTTCCATCCATGCTGTTGCAAATGGTAAGAATTCCTTCTTTTTTACAGCAGCATAGTATTCCATCGTGTAGATATACCACAGTTTTCTAATCCATTCATCCACTGATGGGCACTTAGGCTGTTTCCAGATCTTAGCTATGGTGAATTGTGCTGCTATGAACATAGGGGTGCATATATCCTTTCTGATTGGTGTTTCTGGTTTCTTGGGATATATTCCTAGAAGTGGGATCACAGGGTCAAATGGGAGTTCCGTTTTTAGTTTTTTGAGGAAACTCCATACTGTCTTCCATAGTGGCTGCACCAGTCTGCATTCCCACCAGCAGTGCAGAAGGGTTCCTTTTTCTCCACATCCTCTCCAGCACTTGTTGTTTGTGGTTTTGTTGATGATAGCCAGTCTGACAGGTGTGAAGTGGTACCTCATTGTTGTTTTGATTTGCATCTCTTGGATGATTAGTGACTCTGAGCATGTTTTCATATGTCTCTTGGCTTTCTGAATGTCCTCTTTTGAAAGGTGTCTATTTAGGTCCTTTGCCCATTTTTTGATTGGATTGTTTGTCTTCCTTTTGTTAAGTTGTATGAGTTCCCTATAAATGTTGGAGATTAAACCCTTATCGGTGATAACATTGGCAAATATGTTCTCCCATGCAGTGGGCTTTCTTGTTGTTTTGTTGATGGCTCATGACCTTCTTTACCTGGCCCATCGTCCTTGCTCTGCTCATGTCAGCCTGTCTACAATTGGACATTTTTTGGAACAATTAGACTCAGTCACAGTATTGACAGAAGATATCTGTGATGCATTTAACTGACCAAGGAATAGCTTTCAGAACATATTAAGGCTCTCAGACACACTAGAAGGGAGGAAAAGGAACCAGACATAAACAGGTGGCATTATTTCCTGAACTGCCATAACAATGACCACAAGTCGGATATCTTAAAACACAGTCCTGGCCCTAGCCAGTGTGGCTCAGTTGGTTGAGCGTCATCCTGTCCACCAAAAAGTCGCCAGGTCGATTCCCAGTCAGGGCACATGCCCAGGTTGCAGGCTTGATTCCCTTTCTCTCCTTTTCCCTTCTCTCTCTAAAAAACAATCAATGAAAACATTAAAAACAAAACACAGCCCTGGCCCTGATGGGGAAGCTCAGTTGGTTAGAGTGCCATCCTGATATGCGAAGGTTATGGATTTGATCCTGGTCGGGCACATACAAAAATCAACCAATGAATACATCAGTAAGTGGAAAAACAAATCATTCTCTCCCTCTCTCTCTCTCTCTCTCTCTCTCTCTCTCTCTCTCAAAAACAACACAAAGACAGCAGTAACAAGAACCCAGTCCTGCAGGCCAGAAGTTGACAATCAAAGTTCAGCAGGGCTGGAGGCTGTGAGGGGGAATCGGTTCCAGGCTCTCTCTGGCTTCTGGTGGCTTAATCCTTGGTGTCCCTTGGTTCATGGCCGCATCCCTCCAATCTCCGCCTCTGTCTGGCGGTGGCCTTCTTTTGAGGGCACTGTTTACTGGATTTAGAGCCTACCCTACTCCAATGTGACCCATCTTAACACAAAGAATCATATCTGGCCCTCTCTGGTTTGGCGTATCGGATAGAGCGTTGGCCTATCCACTGTGAAGGGTCCCAGGTTTGATTCCAGTCAAGGGCACATGCCCATGTTGTGGGCTTGATCCCCAGGAGCGGGTGTGCAGAAGGAAGCCGATCAATGATTCTTTCTCATCATTGATGTTTCTATCTCTCTCTCTCCCTCCCCCTTCCTCTCTGAAATAAATACAAATATATTTAAAAAAATAAAATAACACTTTACAAAAGAGAACACGGGTCATTAAATGCTTTTTTTTAAAAGAATTATATCTGCAAAAACCCTAAAGGTCACAATCTGAGGTGCCAGGTGGATGCTGGAATTTGTGTCTAATGATTCTGTTTCCTTTATTGTATACTTCATTGATCTTTTCTCTAATCTTTATTATTTCCTTCCTTCTACCAGCTTTGATTTTAGTTCACGCTTCTTTTCCTCAGGTTATTGATGTGAGATGTATTTTTAAAAATATTTTTATTGACTTCAGAGAGGAAGGGAGAGGGGGAGAGAAAGAGAGAAACAGCAATGATGAGGGAGAATCATTAATCAGCTGCCTCCTGCACTTCCCACACTGGGGATTGAGCCCACAACCCGGGCATATGCCCTGACCAGGAATTGAACCGTGTCCTCCTGATTCATAGATCGATGCTCAACCACTGAGCCATGTGGCTGAGATCTTTTTCAATGTAGCAAGTTATAGCTACCAACTTCTCCATGAGCAGTGCTTTTGCTGAATCCATAACTTTTGGTGTGTTTTAGTTTTCATTCATCTCTAAATATTTTACAATTTCCTTTGTGATTTCTTCTTTTACTCAGTGTTTGAGTGTGTTGCTTAATGTCCACATATCTGTGAACACTCCAGATTTCCTTTTGCTATTAACTTCTAGCTTTATTTTATACTCTTCCTGCCCCTTTCTCTGTCTCTCCTCCTCTGGGAGTCCCATCATGTGTATGTTGGTCCCCTGGATGGTGTCCCATAGGCCCCCTTTGGACTCGGTTAACTTTTTGTCATTTGTTTTTCTTTCTGGTTTTCAGACTTGATAATTTTGATTGTCCTATCTTAAGGTTTGCTGATTTTTATTTTATTGTAGTGGGAGAGGATTTTTTGTATAATTTAAGTCTTTTAAAATTTATTGAGTGTTTTTTCTTCTCTAACATATGGTCTATACTAGAGGATGTTCCATGAATACCTGATAGCAATGTGTATTCTGCGGTTGCCACATGGAATGTTCTATAAATGTCTATTTGGTCTAGCTGGTTTATAGTGTAGTTCAACCCCCTATGTCCTTAATATTCCATTATTAAAACTGCAGTATTGAAGTCTCTGACTCTTACTGTAGAACTATTTATTTCTCCCTTCAACTCCTTTCAATGTTTGCTTCCTATATTTTGGGGCTCTGTTCTTTGGTGCATAGATGTTTATATATGTACACAGCTTTGAGTTACTGTCTAGTGTCCTTTCCTTTCAACCTGCAGGACTCCTTTAGCATTTCGTGCTTGGCAGATATAATGGTAACAAACTCTCTCAGCTTTAATTTACCTGAGGATGTCTGGATTTCTTTCTCATATTTTAAAAAAAGTATGGCTGGGTATAGAATTCTTGGTCAACAGTTTTTTCTTTCAGTGCTTTAAATATGTCATCCCACTGCCTTCTGGCTTCCAAGGTTTCTGGTGAGAAATTGACTGTTCATCTCACTGAGGATCCCTGTGCATGATGAGTAGCTTTCTCATGCTGCTTTTAAGCTTCACTCTTTCTCTTTGGCTTTCACACTTTGATTACAATGCATCACAGTATGGGGTTCTTTGAGTATATTCTATATGGAGTTCATTGAGCTTCTTAGATGTGTGGATTTATACCTTTCATCACATTTGAAAAGGTTTTGACCATTATTTTTCAAATATTCTTTCTGCCCCTTTTTCTGTCTCCCTCTCCTCCTCTGGGATTCCCATAATGTGTGTGTTGGTCCTCTGGATGGTGCTCCATAGGCCCTTTGGATTCAGTTAAGTTTTCTCTTTTTCTTTTTTCTTTCTTTCTTCCTTCCTTCCTTTCTTCCTTCCTTCCTTCCTTCCTTCCTTCCTTCCTTCCTTCCTTCCTTCCTTCCTTTCTTTTTTTTTTTAGGGAGACAATCCTGTTTATTGTTGAGGACTAAGAAACAAATTCTGGAGATGCTCTGTACAAGCTACTAAAGAGGGGTGGGGTGGAGAGGAGAGACAATAACACACACCTTTATTCTGAGTGAGCTCCAGCTCTGCTTTCCAACACTGAACCAAGGAGAGACAGCCCCTTCTCACTGAGGCTGCGGAGAATGGAAACCTCACTCAACATATCAGGGCAGGCTGAGCAAGAGCAGGCTGAGCAAGGGGTTATTTTAAGCGGATGCAAGAGGTCACTTGTGGCCCTTTGGGAGCCGCAATCCCGAGCACAGAGTGGGTGCTGGAGGTGGTCTGTGGTTGCTGATGGTGCCTGGTGGTTCTGTTCTTTAGGTCTCAGGCTTCTGCGTCTCGATGATAAGCTTGTCAGTGGAATACAGTTGGCCCATGTGGACCTGTCGACGAATCCTTTCCAGGACTCTCTTGGCTTTATTCACTAGAGTCTGAATTTCTACAGGATCTTTTACCTTCTTACTTCCTCTGAAGGCACCGCTTATCCTCCTGATAGCATAAGTTCTGTAATTGTAGGTGCTGAAATGCTTGCTGTTTCTCAGCATCTCTGGGTACAGATCTGGTGCACGGCTGGAGGCTGCCATTTTGGAAAGAAAAAAGTAAGTGGGTCCTCTTCACAGAGGTCCCGAGTTTAACCCAATCACACAGTTTCAGCCTGTGCAAAACCACACACGACCTCAGTGCAATGAATGTGGTTGGTCTCACCAGCGGGCCGGGCCTCCCCCTGGGCGAGCAGCGCCCCCGCCTCGGGCTGCAGGGAAAAGAGCCCTGCGTCATCGTCATCGCTCCAGACTTTGGAGGCCAGCGCAGTTAACGTTTAATCATTTGTTTTTCTTTCCGGTGTTCAGACTTGATAATTTCAATTGTACTATCTTCAGGTTTGTTGGTTCCTTTTCTTCTGCCTGATCAAATCTATTGAACTCCTCTAGTGAATTTTTCATTTCAGTTATTGTACTTTTCAGATCCAGAATTTCTGTTTGGTTTCTTTTAATCACTCTCTTGGGAATGTTTCTGTCAGGGGTGCTGGGTAGGCAGGTATTTGTTATTTTATTATTGATACTTTTTTGTATGCCCGAAATGTTTCATAGTAAAAAATAATGCTGACAGGAGACGGTTTGGTGATTTCTCAACACATTAAACATAAAATTACTGCATGACAGGTTTTCAAACAAAAACTTGTACACACATGTTTATAGCAGGACTATTCACAATCGCCAAATGAAAATACAAATATTGTATATGATTTCATTCACATGATGAAATGTCCAGAACAGGTAAATTCAGAAAGACAGGAAGCAGATGAATGCTGTCCAGGGGCTAGGGGAGGGGGAAAGGGCAGTGACTGCTCATGGGAACAGAACCTGAAATGGAGATAATGTGTTCATCTCATCGGTTTTTTTAAAAATATATATATATATTATTGATTTTTTTTTTTTTTACAGAGAGGAAGGGAGAGGGATAGAGAGTTAGAAACATCAATGAGAGAGAAACATCGATGAATTGCCTCCTGCACACCCCCTGGGGATGTGCCCGCAACGAAGGTACATGCCCTTGACCGGAATTGAACCTGGGACCCTTCAGTCCGCAGGCCGATGCTCTATCCACTGAGCCAAACCGGTTTTGGCTATTTTTTAATGTATACATGTACACTGATAGTCCAACAGAAAACTTTATGACTCCGTTTGATATTATCAGTGGGAATTTTGCTGCTGCATCCCTGATGACAGAGATTTTACATCAGGTTTATATTTCGTGACCTTCAGAGATATGCACAAGCTACTACTTTCATCTGTCAGGCTACTCCTATTACGAGACTTAACAAAATTCATCACTGAGAACAAAGATTCACAAGCGTATGTGGATGAAAACATGGAGAGTAACGCTGTTGCAAAGTTTTTTAAACAGAAAAAATTTTCCGGAATGGCATTCCAAGTCCTCATTAGTTCATTTTCGACACTTCTCTCTGGTACTCCTCTCTCTAATCGCTTTTTTTCAGTGTTTTCCAAGTCAACTCTGAGGTCAATAAATTTCTGCTTCCAAATTGAGCTACTCTGAAATTCAATCAACTGCATTTCAAAGTCAGCCATGCCTATCCATGAAAACATTTGTAAGTTTAGTTCCTCCAGTTTCATGCTGTCTGGAAACCTCATGAATTTTGCTGTCTCGCCGAAACCGGTTTGGCTCAGTGGATAGAGCGTCGGCTTGCGGACTGAAGGGTCCCAGGTTCGATTCCGGTCAAGGGCATGTACCTGGGTTGCGGGCACATCCCCAGTAGGGGGCGTGCTGGAGGCAGCTGATCGATGTTTCTCTCTCATCGATGTTTCTAACTCTCTATCCTTCTCCCTTCCTCTCTGTAAAAAATCAATAAAATATGTTTAAAAAAAAAAAAATTTTACTGTCTCTTCCAGTTCTCTGAATTTCTCAAATCTTGAGAAGAACTGCTCAATAGTTGACTTGATGATGTTTAAAAACAGCTTTTGAAGGCTTTGACAGTCTGTTCTGTCATCTTTTTTTTTTTTCAGATTCACTTGTTGATAGATGTGTATTTGTTGTTCATAATTTGTATCTTTACATTTTTCTTCTTCTTCCTCTTCTTTTTTTTTAAATTAAATCTTTATTGTTCAGATTATTACATTGGTTCCTCTTTTTTCCCACCATAACTCCCCTCCACCCAGTTCCCATCCCACCCTCCTCCCTCACTCCCCACCCACTGTCCTCATCCATAGGTGCACGATTTTTGTCCAGTCTCTTCCCGAATCCCCCACACCCCTTTCCCCCGCAAGAATAGTCAGTCCATTCCCTTTCTATGTCCCTGACTCTATTACAATCACCAGTTCATACTGTTCATCAGATTATTTATTCACTTGATTTTTAGATTCACTTGTTGATAGATGTGTATTTGTTGTTCATAATTTGTATCTTTACCTTTTTCTTCTTCTTCCTCTTCTTAAAGGATACCTTTCAGCATTTCATATAATACTGGTTTGGTGGTGATGAACTCCTTTAGCTTTTTCTTATCTGTGAAGCTCTTTATCTGACCTTCAATTCTGAATGATAGCTTTGCTGGATAAAGTAATCTTGGTTGTAGGTTCTTGGCATTCATCACTTTGAATATTTCTTGCCACTCTCTTCTGGCCTGCATAGTTTCTGTTGAGAAATCAGCTGACAGTTGTATGGGTACTCCCTTGTAGGTAACTGATTGTTTTTCTCTTGCTGCTTTTAAGATTCTCTCTTTGTCTTTTGCTCTTGGCATTTTAATTATGATGTGTCTTGGTGTGGTCCTCTTTGGATTCCTTTTGTTTGGAGTTCTCTGTGCTTCCTGGACTTGTAAGTCTATTTCTTTCACCAGGTAGGGGAAGTTTTCTGTCATTATTTCTTCAAATAGGTTTTCAATATCTTGCTCTCTCTCTTCTTCTGGCATCCCTATAATTCGGATGTTGGTATGCTTGAAGCTGTCCCAGAGGCTCCTTACACTATCCTCGCATTTTTGGATTCTTTTTTCATTTTGCTTTTCCGGTTGGGTGTTTATTGCTTCTTTGTATTTCAAATCATTGACTTGATTCTTGCAATCCTCTAGTCTGCTGTTGGGAGTCTGTATAATATTCTTTATTTCAGTCAGTGTATGCTTAATTTCTATTTGGTCCTTTATCACAACCTCGAGGGTCTCATTAGATTTCTTGTAGATCTCATTAAGTTTATCGGCAGTTTCTAGAAAATCCTTGAAAAACCTTAAAAGTGTGGTTTTGAACTCTATATCCAGTAGTTTGCTTTCCTCCATTTCTGTCATTTGTGCCCTTTTTCTTTGTCTCTGCATTTTTTATGCTTCCCTGTATTGATAAAGTGGTTTTCTGTGCTAAGTGTCCTCTAGGGCCCAGTGATTCAGCCTCCCCAATTACCTGAGGAGGACACTCTTGGTGCACCCCCTTGTGGTCTTTGTGCACAGTCTTGTTGTAGTTAAGCCTTGATTGTTGTAGGTATCACTGGGAGGAATTGACCTCCAGGCCAATTGGCTGTGAGAATCAGCTGTGTCTGCAGTGGGAGAACTTCTGTGCTGGAGACACTCCTCTGGGGCAAGACTTGCTTCATTGGGGCTTTGGTGCTCACTGAGTCTGCCCCCTGAGTGTGTCCTTTATGGTTCCACGGAGCTGCAAACTGGATGGTCCCACTCTGACCTCTGGGTTTCCTGGCTCCTGGATCTCTAGGGAGGTGCTAATCTAGCCTTTGCCTGAGGCTATCCAGCAAAAGCCTCCCTGCAGGGCTTGGGTGGGGCGGGTCCCATGGGATCAACAGGGTGGGGTTAGCAGTTATGGCTGCTCTCAGTCCTGCCTTCAGAGGCTTTACTTCTCAGTGTCCCGGTAATTGCTGCAAGCCCCTCAGAGAGAAAGCTGCCCTCGAGTTCCAACCGATGCCAGACAGTCCCGCTTCTCCCGTATGAGTCTGGGTCCCTAGAGACTCGTCCAGAACTGGAGCTCAGAGCCTGAGACTCCCTCCTGATTGAAAACGGCAACTGCGCCCTCAGCCGCCAGCCCGCTCTGCACGCACCTCCGCACCTTAGTATTTTACTTCCGCACTGCGCCTCCTCTGAGTCTCGGTATGCTTTTCTCTTTTCTTCTAGTTGTAGAATTTCCACTCAGCCAGCCTTCCTGTGGTTCTGGATGATGTCCGTTCCATCTTTTAGTTGTATTTTTAAAGTGGTTGTTCGAGGCAGCAAACTCCAGTGTTTACCTATGCCGCCATCTTGGTTTCTCTCTGTTCTGTCATCTTTTGGCAGGTCTTTGATGTGCCTCTTGAGGTTTGGGAAATATCTAAATCTCTCACCATCCACATCCGTCTTAAAGACTTCCAATTTCTTTTCAAAAGCCTTTATGTAACCAGACATAACATCAAGTGTCTTGCCAGTTCCTTGTAATTTAACATTTAAGTCATTCAAATGTTCACAAAAATCTGCAAAGAACATCAGTTTAGAAACCCAGGTGGCATCAGACAATTCTTGGTAAGACACAAGTTGGTTATTCAAGAAGAGCGTTATCTCGTTTAAGCATTCAACAAATTGTTTCAGAACCAAACCTCGGCTAAGCCATCGAACATTGTTGTACATTTTCAGTCCTTTATACACAGATTCTACCTCATTCAGTAAAACTTGAAATTGTCTTTTATTCAAAGCCCGAGCAGAAATGTAATTAACAACTTTGGTAACTGTTTGCATCACTTCCTGCAGTCCTTCCGGCCCACTCTTGCACATAAAGCCGCCTCATGTATGACGCAATGAACACCTATCAGTGTACGACCAACTTCTTTCGCAAACAGATTTACAAAACCTGCCTTCTCACCAGTCATGAAAGTCTAGAAAAAATGGCCAGCCTAGATGACGATGCAATGTCTGTACAAATAGAAAAAAATTGACATGAAGACAAATCTTTTGTTAATTGTTCAGCAGTATTACTCGCCAACTTAAGCATCCTATCCTTAACTGTTTTCCTGCTCACGGACAAATCTTTAATGAGCTGAATAATGTTTTCTTTTTCTGATAAATCGTCAAAAAGGAAAGGTGCACGTTCTAGCCAAGCTTCTTTAAATATACTCT